CGCAGACAAAAACTCGGCCAGTCGACAGCGGTGAGATAACATGGGCTGGCGGAATGGACGATAACCTCCAAGATGGCCTCAAGAGGCCCTCCTGGACACAAGGAAAGCCCCAAGAGGGCCCGAAGACGGCCCCAAGACGGCTCCAAGAGTGCCCCAAGAGTGCCCCAAGAGCGTCCCTCAAGGGCCCCAAGAGGCGGTTTGCTTCCTCCTCCTCATCCTCCTCCTCCTCCTCCTCCTCCTCCTCCTCCGCCTCCTTCTCCTCCTCCTCCTCCTCCCCTCGCTCGCCCTCCCGCGGGCCCTGAAAAGGTCCTCCAAGGCCAGCCCGTTGCTGCCAGCGATCTCTCAGACCGTCCTGGTTGCCCTGTTTGCTTCCCTGTGTGTCTCTTCGTCCCTTTTCCCGTCAGCTTTCATGGGCAGAGTTTCTGAACGGGCTGGTGGGGGTACGCGAAGCGTGAAGAATCGAAACGACAGGGGTCACATTACGGCCTTCTGTGCTCGAAGTGTCGCTACATAGAGTGCTACGCTGGTACGGTGGCAGGACTTGCCATAGGCAACTGGATATCTGAGCTGTGCCCGTCAGTGCTGAGGAACCCGGGGTCGGCGGCCGCCGGCGCCGTCACGAACCGCGTGTACTTGGTCACCCCGGACGCGCGTCCGTTCAAGGCAATCACTAGAGCGTCGATGCCTGTGATGCCCGAATGCGATGCGTCGCCGGTGACATAAACGGGCATCCCATCCAGGCCAGTCGTGTACGTCGCAGTCGGCGCATCGGTGACGATCACGGCGGAGACAAGCTCCGGGTAGGCTGTCGCAAAAGACAGTGCGCCAACGCCACCCTCGGAGGTGCCACTCACGATGACCTTCTCCGCGTCGCCGTTGAAGTGTTCGATGACGTACTTCGTGATGTCCTTGGCCTTGAGGAGACAATCAGCAGTCCACGACGGAGTCGCGCTTCCCGTCCAGCACTGGGGCATGACGACCACGCCAGGGAACGTGTCGGCAAAAGTGCAGTCGGCCATAGGGCAACCCGTATCCTCTGTCGTACCTAGGTAATACGGCGAGGAGGCTGACTCGGTGTAGGCCGTAGAATACGACCCGTCGAGGCACCAGCAGGACCGGTTGTCGAACGATTGGCTCTGGTTCCTCGCCAGCATCCTGGCGAAGCCCTGCGAATTCTTCAAGGTCCACTTGCGCTCCCCGTGGCTGTGCAAGTCGAGATGCACTGGGTACGGGTGCAGCGAGTTGTTGTTCCACGTGGGGGGAAGGTACAGCTGGTACGGCATGCCGCCGATAGAGGTCATGAGGCGGCGGGCGCCCAGACCGGCCTCGGGGAACGTGATGGGATCCGGCTCCTTCCACTCGGACTGAGTGGAGAAGTTCCACGCGACAGAGCACGCATCCGATACAGACATGGGCGGGCCCAGCCTCGTCTCGCTCCACTGGGTGATCCTGGCCGAGCCTGGGATCTCATCGTTGCGCACCACGAGGGAGGCCGCGCCGTTCACCAGCGCTGCCGAGACGACCGCGCGTCCAAACACCATGGCCTAGACAGAAGTGGCGAGCCACGTGCAGGAGAAGCTGGTGTGTGAAGCCCCCGACGGCTAAGGCCAATATGGCTGCGCAGAAGCGGGTAAAGGAGGGGGAGCGGGGCAGGTCGGGTCGGATCGGGCGGGGCGTTACAGTACAGTGCAATCCATTCAGAAGAACATCCACGACGGTAACGCCGACGGCAACGCCGACGGCAACAACGACGACGACGACGACGACGACGACGACGACGACGACGACGACGACGACGACGTCGATGACGACGACGAGGACGAGGACGAGGACGAGGGCGAGGGCGAGAGCGACAACGACGACGACGACGACGACGACGACGACGAGGAGGAGGAGGGCGAGGGCATGGACGAGAGCGACAACGACGACCAGGACGACGACGACGACTACGACGTCCCTTCCCCAGCTGCACGGCCACGGAACGGTTAGGGGCGATTAAACCCGATAAAGGGGCCAATGAGCCAGATCAGCCCATATTATAAAGCCCAGGATTAAGCCCGATTAAGCCAGATGATGTTGGATTCGGCGGAATGCAGCGGGCCCATGTCGGATTGGGACGGTCCTCGACCACGCACATACCAGCGCCGATGCTGAAGTTAGCCTCTCAGGAGTTGCATCCTAAAGGAGGAGAGGGAGGGGGAGAGGGCATGGGTGAAGGGAGGGAACCCTGGCGCTCACCTTCCGCTGGAAAAATGTGATGCAGCCCCTTGCGCGTGGTGCGCCTCCCCGCGCCCCTCACCTCCACTGTTCGCGCGGGGGTGCCGCGCGGTTCGATGTGTTTCTGGCGTCGGCCGCAGCTCTCTCAACACTGAGACCGCGGGCCTGGTGGTGGCAAGAAATCAAGAAGACCAGCAACAATCATACATGTCGTTATCTGGGTGCGCAGAGGCCGCTGGCCTCCCAGAAACCCGCAGGAAAACCCAAGCCAATACCATGCAGCGCCCCTCACGGGGGCGGAAGCCAGCGCGACCAAATCCCACCAGCCATCTGGGCGTGGGTGGTTGAGGTAGATAGATCCGTCAGCTCCCCTCTTCCCCTCCTGGGAGGGGCGCATCACTGCTCCTCATTATGGCAGGCCTAGAGGTTGACACCAACACCAAGATCGGCGGTGTGCCTCCACCGAGGGAAGACGATCCCGATCTCGGTGATGGTGGTAATACTCTGGCTTCCAAGGTGACCGAAATATTGCCACCAACACCGAAATCTAGGATCATCTTCCCCCTGTGGAGGCACCCCCCTGTGTTGGTGTTGGTGCCAATTTCCAGGCCCCCAACATTACGATAAAGGAAAAACAGGTCGACCAGCCGCCGACCAGGAACAATGCATGCCCACCACACACGCACACCTTTTTGCGGCGGCGGCTGGACAGAGTGACTGCGCTGGCGGAATGAGCATATGTAGGGCACACAGATGCGAATTAGGCCGCAGTGCACGTGGGGAGGAGAGGGGGGCCCGGCGCGGGTGGGGAGGAGAAGCTGGGCCCGCTCTGAGCAGGGCCAGGCCGCGACGGGGGGGGGCGCCGGGGCGGCGGGGAAGCAGCGGCCGCGAGGCAGTCAGGGGGGGTGGCAGCCAGGAGGCGGCCGAGCCAGGCGGCGGGGGTGGCAGGTCCAGGGCGAGCTGGAATGCGTCCCCGCACACACACACACACACACACACACACACCACCCCTGCCAGAAAGCACAGTGGGCGGAGGGCGCACGCGCATGGCAGGCCCGAAGCTCTCGCCGCAGCTGCCGCGAAGCCCCAAACAAGGCAAGGAAGCCCCAGAGACACACATGGTGGGGTCTGAGAGCAGCAGGGCTGGGAGGACGACGACCTGGCCCACGACGACCGGAACAGCGTGGCAATGTCTGCATGGCACACTGACGGGATCGGGCTGCGGTTTACGCCGAGCAGCGAGCATGTTTTCAATCACCCTGAGAACGGGCGTTAGGGGGGCGGAGAGGGGGCATAACGTAACGCCCCCCCCGCCGCGCGGGTCCAGCAATACTGCGGTGCCAGACGCACTGCGGCAGGGCTGGGGACGCTTTGAGGCGGGGGGAGCGTTACGTTATGGGGGAAGGGAGGGGCATAACGTGGGGTGTTGGACGCACAAAATCCGCCGACCCTGTCGGCGTGTGCGAGGGGTCTGTCTGTTCCAGTCGTCGTCTCCGTCAGTCGTCGTCTCCGTCGTCCCCTTTCCCTGCACCCTCCTCTCCTCAAGCCTGTCAGCGAGAGAGAAAACTGGCAATGTCGTAATCGAATCGAAGGGAAGCCCCTTCTCGTTGATCCCTTCCCCGGGGGGGGGGGTCCCCGGGGGGGGTCCCGGGGGGGTCCCAGGGGCGGGGGGGGGGGGGGGGGGGTGGGGGGGCAGATTCGTTTTTCCTCGGGCGGCCTCGAAACCTCGAAAACACTCCAAATGAGGTCCGAATGCCCAAGATGGCCCCCGAGACGGCCCAAGAGTGCCCCGAGTCGCCTGAGAAGCTCTCAGGAAGCCCCCAGAGGCCCCTAAGAAACCCCCCAAGAGGCCCGAAGAGACCCCCAAGAAGAGCCCCAAGAGACCTCCAAGAGACCCCCAGGAAGCCCCAAGAGGCCCACACGAGGCTCCCAAACGGCCCCCAAGAGCTTCCCAAGAGGCCCCCAAACTACCCCCAAGAGGCCCCCGAGAGCGCTCGTCGTCGTCGTCGTCGTCGTCGTCGTCGTCGTCGTCGTCGTCGTCGTCGTCGTCGTCGTCGTCGTCGTCCGTCGTCGTCGTCGTCGTCGTCGTCGTCGTCGTCGTCGTCGTCGTCGTCGTCGTCGTCGTCGTCGTCGTCGTCGTCGTCGTCGTCGTCGTCGTCGTCGTCGTCGTCGTCGTCGTCGTCGTCGTCGTCGTCGTCGTCGTCGTCGTCGTCGTCGTCGTCGTCGTCGTCGTCGTCGTCGTCGTCGTCGTCGTCGTCGTCGTCGTCGTCGTCGTCGTCGTCGTCGTCGTCTTTCAGGGTCGGCGGCACCGGCCGTAAGGCCTTCGCAATAGGTATAGAAGAAATGCGCACGATACCCAACAACAAATATGGTCCAAAAGAAACAGCGGTCGATGTTCGGCAGGCGGTCTTCTGTCTCACATGGACAACGACCGCGGAGACTCGGACAGCGAGCCCTGTCAAGAGTGAACGAAAAGTGTGGTGGGCCCTGCACCCACTATTTCCGTACCCACTCCTTCCGTACCGAGGGATGGGGACCGGCATCCGCCGTCGTCTGCCGTCGTCGTCGATGTCGTCTGTCGTCGTCTGTCGCCCGTCGTCTGGCGTCTGTCGTCTGTCGTCTGTCGTCTGTCGTGGTCGTGGTCGTCGTCGTCCTCCTCGCCGTCGTCAACGTCGTCGTCGCCGCCGCCGTCGTCGCCGTCGCCGTCGCCGTCGCCGCCGTCGCCGCCGTCGCTGCGGGCGCTGTCGAGGGTCTCCGCCGCCCGCGGCGGCGGCCCGCCGCGCCTCGACGGCGTAGACGGTCGAGGCCCCGGCCTGCCGCCCGCGGCGAGCGCGCGGGGCCTCGCCCTCCCTCCGTCCCTGCTCCTCTGCTCCTCCCGCCTCCTCCCCCCTTCCTCCTCGCTCCTCCCCCCCTGCTCCCTACCCCCCCCTGCTCCCCTCCTGCTCCTCCTCCCTCCTCCCCTCCTCCTCCTCCTCCTCCTCCTCCTCCTCCTCCTCCTCCTCCTCCTGCTCTCCTCCTCCTCCTCCTCCTCTCCTCCTCCTCCTCCTCCTCCTCCTCCTCCTCCTCCTCCTCCTCCTCCTCCTCCTCCTCCCTCCTCCCTCCCCCTCCTCCCGCCCCCTCCCCCTCCCCCTCCCCTCCCTCCCCCCCCTCCCTCCTCCTGCTCCTCCCTCCTCCTCCTCCCTCCTCCATTCCTTTACTTCTCCCTGTCGCACCCCAAGGCCAGCTGTTAGGGTGGGCCGGGCGTTTCGCCTGAGAATTCCGCACCCTTTATGACCCTCAAGATTCAAAATTGGCAACAGGTTCACAGATGAAGGGCGGTCTCGTTTTCGAAATGTGGCTCTCGCCTTAGCGCCGCGCACATTCGCTTGAAAAAAAACCAAGGGTGTTGACGGATTGAGGGCGAGCAGTTTGCAAAATGTGGCTCTCGCCTTAGCGCCGCGCGAGTTCGTTTCAAAAACCTGCAAGAGCTTCACGGATTGAGGGCGGCTCGTTTTCAAAATGTGGCTCTCGCCTTAGCGCCGCGCACATTCGTTCCAAAAACATGCAAGAGTTTCACGGATTGATGGCGGTTCTTTTTAAAATGTGGCTCTCGCCTTAGCGCCGCGCACATTGGTTTTTCCCTGGTCATCGTACCAGAAATTCTGTGTTCGAAGAATTCAGGATTATGAGGGTGCAACAGTTACGTTGATTCGAGGTGTTGAAGTCCCAGGGATGGCGTCCTGGCACGATTCAGGATCGTCAAGACGCAACAGTCAGGTTGATCCGTGACGTTGGAATCCCGAGAACAATGTTTTGGCATGCTCCAGGGTCTTCGAACGATTGCCTTGCAACGAAGCAGTTCCGTCAGTGGAAACGAACCGTTGCAGGGGCCTATGAAGAGGGAGCTTGGGGGGAGGGTGTATACCAACATCGTTGATGACACTTGGGTTTACACTGGTCCAACTCCTCCTACTCATCCTCCTCCTCCTCCTCCTCCTCCTCCTCCGCCTCCTCCTCCTCCTCCTCCTCCTCCTCCTCCTCCTCCCACTCCTCCTCCTCCTCCCCTCCTCCCTCCCTCCCTCCCTCCCGCCCTCCCTCCCTCCCTCCCTCCTGCCTCCTCCTCAGCTGCATCAGCATCAGCATCAGCATCAGCATCAGCATCATCCTCAGCATCCTCATCCTCATCCTCATCCTCAGCCTCCATCCCCCATGCTCCTTCGATGGCCCATGCCGCATCGACACTCGTCAGTCCGCTCGCCAGTGCACACCACCCCAGGGGAACGGGTCGAGACCGTCCGGGGCTGCGGCCCGGAGAACGAGCACGGCGTCGGACGTCCGGGCTCCGGCGTCGAGGCGTCTGCCAGACGCCGGGTCCGGGGAGCGCCCGGCTTCAAGGAAGCGGCTCCTCGCCACGGCTGGATCGCCCTGGGCACAACTTCTGGTCGTGACGCACCCCAGGACAGGGAGGAGGGAAGCCAGGGAGGAGGGAGGCCAAGGGGGGGAGGCGAGGGAGGGCAGGGAGGAGGGGGAGGCCAGGGGGGGGCGGGCAGCACCGCCAGGCACGGGAGGGTGGGGGCTGCGCGGTGGGCACGCCGTGCCCTCCGACGTCCGTGCTGCCGCAGTTGCGGCGGCGGGCGGGCTGTGGGGCCACATGCGAGCCCTGCCCCCCCCCCCCTCAGAAATCGTGGGGGGCAGGGGCGGGGTTCGCGTGTGGAAGGATGTGAAGGGGCCCACAAACACACAAATAAATACACACAAATAAAATAATTCCCTATATTTTCCCATATTTTCTGGGTTTCTGTCTTCCCCCCCACTTCCCATATTTTCCCATATTTTCTGGGGAATCGGCGATTAATTGTGTTTGTGTGTTTTTTCCCCTCCTGAGGATGACTGGACAGGCAGAGGTGCGGGGGCGGCCATGACGAGATGCTGCGTCCCTGCTGCCGTGTTTCACCACAGGGAGAGGAGGGGGGGGGGCAGGCGGACCAGCCGAGGCACATGGCGGCGAGAGCGGCCACCTGTTGAGCAGTGAGACTCGTGACGCCGTCATGCGAGGAGGGAGGGGAGGGAGAAGGGAAGAGCGAGAATGGGGAAGGGCCTTCAGACCCCCAAAGGGCCCTAAGAGCCTTCTGAGCGTGGTTCCAAGGAGGGGCGCACTGGAAATCGAGGGGACACCAGAATTCAGAATTGTATCTCCCCATCCTCACTCGGCGCGGCCACAGAGGGGCCAGAAATCCCACCAGCCCTTTAGGGATGGTGAGTGGTCTAGCGAGTTTCCTCTGCCATCTTTCTTCTTCCCCTTCTGGGAGGGGTTTACCCCTGCCCCGACCGCCTACCGCTGGGCCTGGAGGGGGAGGGGCGCGGGTCGCTGGAGCGTCCAAGATGGCCTCGGCGAGGAAGCCAAACTCATTAACCTTACTGAGGTTTGGATGACATATTAGCCTCCTGCGGGGGCGACCCTAATTTAGGAGCCCCCTCTCCTTTGATCGATCTCCTTCAAGAGATGGCCCCAAGATGGCCCCCGAGGATCCCAAGGGTGCCCCAAGACGGCCCCAAGAGGTGCCCAGCAGTCCCCAAGAGGTCCCCAAGAGGCCCCCAAGATGCCCCAAGAGGCTCCCAGGAAACCCTCAAAGTGGCCCTACGAGGCCCCCCAGACGCACCCAAGACGCCCCAAGAGGCATCGGTGAGAAGGCCGAAATCACTGATGTTACCAAGGTTTTGGCCACATGTTGGCCAGCTGGGGGGGGCCCTAATTAAGAAGACCCGCTCCTTTGATCGATCTCCTCAAAGATGGCCCCCGAGGTTCCCAACGGTGCCCCAAGACGGCCCCAAGAGGTGCCCAGGAAGCCCCACGAGGGCCCCGAGATACCCCCAAGAGGCTCACCCCCAAGAGGCTCAAGGAGGCCCCCCCAGGGGCACCCAAGACGCAAGAAGGCCTCGGCGAGAAGGCCAAAGTCCGCCGACCCCTTGTGGGTCTCTAGGCGTGTGAGATAGTTCCCCCCCCCATAATCCCCCCCCAGGGACCCCAAACCGGAGATTTGACCCCCCCCCCGGGCCCAGTACGAGCGCGTCACGGGGCTCTTTTGGGCCCAAAAGGGGATCAAGACGGGCCCAGAAGGCCCCAAGAGGCCTCCAAGACGGCCCACGAGGGCCCCGAGACGCCAAACGAGCGCTCCCACACGCCCAAGATGGCCCCAAGACGAGCCTAGAGGCCTCCAAGACGGCCCAAGAGGTCCCCACGAGGCCCCAAGAGGCCTCCAAGATGCGTCCCAAGAGGGTCCCTAGACGCAAAAATTGGCCCATTCCCTTCGTAAAACGTATAATTTTCACAAATTCGCTTTCTGGGCTTTCCGACGCTCCAAGACGGCCCAAGAGGCCCCGAAGACCGCCCCAAGACGGCCCAAGAAACCTCCAAGAGGGTCCCAAGATAGCCCAAGAGGGCCCCAAGACGGCCCAACAAGCGTCCAAGACGGCCCAACAGGGCCCCGAAAAGGGCCCCAAGAGCGCTCCAGGAGCGCCCCAAGTGGCCTCCAAGAGAGCTCAATATGGTCCCAGACAGCCCAAGAGCAATCAAAGACACCGAAGATGGCCTCCTGACGGCCCAAGATGCCCCCAAGAGGCCCCATCCAAGATGCGTCCCAAGAGGGCCTCTAGACGCAAAAATTAGCCCGTTCCCTTCGTAAAGCGTGCGTTTTTCACAAATTCGCCTTTCGGGCTTTCCGACGCTCCCAGACGGCCCAAGAGGCCCCCAAGACCGCCCCAAGACGGCCCAAGAAGCCTCCAAGAGGGCCCCAATACAGCCCAACAAGGCGCTAAGACGGCTCAAGCGGCGCCGAAGACGGCCCAAGAGAGTCCCGATGACGGCCCCAAGAGCGCTCCAAGTGGCTTCCAAGAGAGCTCAACATGGTCCCACATGGTCCAAGAGCGATCGAAGACATCCGATATGGCCTCCAGATGGCCCAACACGCCCTTGAGATGCCCCCAAGATGCGTCCCAAGACGGTCCCTGGACGCAGACATGTACGTATTCCCGTCGTGAAACGTACAATGTTCACACATCCGCCTTCTGGACTTTCCGACGCTCCTAGACGGCCCAAGAGGCCCCGAAAACCGCCCCAAGACGGCCCAAGAGGCCCCCAAGACGGCCCCGCGACGGTCCAATATGGCCCCGAGACGGCCCAAGAGGTCCCCAAAACGGCCCAAGAAGGCCCCAAGACGGCACCAAGAGGGGCCCAAGAGGGCAACCAACAATTCAAAAATCTAGCTTTCTGCCCCCACGAGCCCCAGGGGGCCCCAAGAGCGCCCCAACAGGCCGCCAACGGCCCTCAAGAAACCGCCAAGACGCCCCAAGGAGCCCACAAGAGGCCCCCAGGAGGCCCCCCAAAGACCCCCAGACGCTTCCGTATTGCGAGCCGTCACGCCAACTGCAATGCACTCCGCGCATACAACCTTACTCTTCCTCGCGACGTGCTCACTATCTTGCTCGGCGCTAATGTGCTGCTGCCGCGCGAACTGTTTCGTGCGCGCTGCGAACGTCAACAGCCTCTTCGCCCGTTTCGATTCATCTGCCACATCTTTCGCTGTGATGCTTCGCTGATCACAGCTTCCACACACTACTCTTGCTCCTTTCGTCTTCCAGTGCTCCTCCACTTGGTTGCGGGTCGAAAGGCCGACCTCCCAGAAGGACACCCCGCACCCGGGTGCACAGCACGCAAAGCGCTCGCAAAACACGCCCCAGACCACCGGCATCACGCAAACATTTGGACCCCCTACGTATCTGCCACCACCCGCGTGCGACACCGCACCCTCACACAAGACGCCGCTGGCCAGAAACTCCTGGCCTCGCAACACTCACAGAAGGGGTCGGCGGATGTGGCGTAAGCCTGTAGAGTCACTGATGTTACCAAGGTTACGGTCACATGTTGGCCTTCTGGGGGAAGGGGCTAATTCAGTACGACCCATCCCTTGATCGATCTCTTCCAATATGGCCCCAAGATGGCCCCCGAGGGGTGCCCCAAGACGGCCCCAAGAGGTGCCCAGGAGGCCCCACGAGGACCCTGAGACGTCCCGAGAATGCCTCCAAGAGGCTCCCAAGGGACCACAGAGATGCCCCAAGAGAAGAGGCCCCGGAGGCACCCAAAGATGCCCCAAGAAGCCTTCGGGACTGCCACGAAACCTCCAAGACGCCCCAAGAGGACTCCGAGAAGTTCCGGCCGCCGCGAGCGGCGGCCTTGTCAGGGCGGAGAGCTGGCTCGACGACGGGACCGGGAAGGTCCGCCAAGGCTTAAGTCGGGCATGTCCCCCTACAGGGGGATTTTCGACGAACAGTAAAAAAATACCCCAAAAAAATGATCCAATAATACTCCAAAACAATATGGGGACTATTTTTCGACTATTGTTTTGCCTTTCTAGGGTATTTTTGGGGTATTTTTTATTTGTCGTCGAAAATCCCCCTGTAGGGGGACACGCCCGACATAAGCCAAGGCCGCTCCGTAGAGCCGGCGGAAGCACGTCGGAAGCTGCAGCGGCCGGAGGTCGTTGGGGCGCTCCGCAGTGGGCTTCTTGTGGATCCAAGCTTGTCGGTTACAGTGGGAGCCCGGCCACTAGAAACCCAACCCTGGGCCCCCAGGACGTCAATCCATGTTTGTCACGCTCTCCATAGCAAAACAAACCATCGAGGCCCAAGAAACCCAGGGCATCCTGGAGGCGAGCAGGGCGTCTCCTGGCAGGCGGCCCCCACTGTGCGTCGCGGCGCGGCAGAGGCGCTCCGCACGCGCGCTCGGGCAAGGCGGGCAACGGCATCGCTCACTGGTTGTGTCCGGCGGCAGGAGTGCGGATCCAGGCAAGCATGGCGACGGAGGGGCCCAGGACCTCGCCGAGAGCCGCCGGGGCCGCCGGAGCCGCCGGCGCGGTGCGCGGAGCCCAGCGCCCGAGGAGGCACGCGGCGGAGCGGCAGCCGGCGGGGCAGGGCTCGCGGGGCCGGCCGGCGCCGCCCGGGGCGCTCCCGGAGGGGTTGGGGCACGCGAGGCGGCGAGGCCGGGCCACGGGGGCGCCGGGGCCGCGGGGAGGTCCAGAGGGGGGGCGGCCGGTCGCGAAAGGGCAGTCAAGACGCGTCTTGACGCGTCCTGACCACCCGTCCTTCCTGCGCGCGCGCAGGAAGGACGGGTGGTCAGAACACGAGGCCCCTGGAGGCCGAGATCGGGACTCTGGGGGGGGCGGCGGGCGACGCCAAGGACGGGCCGCCGAGGCAAGGGCACGAGGGCACCCCAGGTGAAGGCGCGCGTCCTTACTGGGCGCGCCGGCTGCAGCGCTGGGCGCGGCGAAGAGCGGCGGAGGGGGTGTCTGGGACGGTCACCCAGATGCCAGCACGGCTGTCCCAGAGGATGCTCTCGCCGTCGCGCGGGGCTTCGCGCCAGGCCCCGTCGGAGTCGCGGACGCCGGCAAGAGCATTCGTGGCGCGGAAGAGCTGCCTGCCGATGCGCCAGGCCTCGGAGAGGGGGGGGCGGGAGGCCCCAGCGCCACGCCTCCACGGGTCGAGCTGGGCTGCTTCGCGGGCGGCGCAGTCCGGGCGCCATCGCTGGAGCCACCGCTCGGCCTCAGGCGGAGGGAGAGGCTGGCCAGGCCAGCCGCGGGTGCGGAGCCACTCGGCCAGCGGCCCGGTCAGGACGAGGCGGTGTGGTGCGGCAGAGGCGTTACGTTATTAGCATGGAGCTGCTGCACGGGGACCGACGCATGCGTGCCCGATGCGCCCACCAGTCGGCCAGAATGACTGTAAAAGCGCGGCTGCCCCAACGCATGAGGCAGCAGAGGACACGGGGAGGGGTGTCGTCGCCAGCATGGCCGGCGTGGTGCGGCGGGGGGCCAGGCGGGGGGCTGCCCTCCGGTTCTGTTTCCATCGGGTCCTCTGGGAGCTCGTCATTTGGGGAGGGTGGCTCCCACACGACTGGCTGGGGAAGAGCACTGAGGTCCACGTTCGGAACGCCGAACCTGCTCTCCAGCGCAGACTTTAACCGAAAGTCAGCGGTGGCCTGCGGGGGAAGGGTGGCGATGGCAGCGGCGGGCATCGGGGAGTTCTGCGCCGCGGACTTTGAATAGCCTCCCGTGACCAGCAGAATGGCGTGGTCCGACAGGCGAAAGAGCCAGGCCTTCCGGATGAGGAACCCCTCCGGGTCGGAGGAATGGGTGGCGACTGTGTCGATCCGAGCCTCTCGAGAGGCAAAGACCATGGTGGCCGGCTGCGAGATTGGCCTCTCCATGCCAGGGCTCTGCCCACTGAGTGTTGAGATCCCCCGCGACGTAGGTGGATAAGTCGTCGGCGGGAGGGGGGCACCACACGAAGAGCGGCGGCTCGTGCAGCCCGGATGGAGGGCGGGAGGTGGGCGGAGAGCAGCCGGGTAAAAGTGCCCTGCCAGGAGCAGGCGACCTGCCCTCGCAGTGCCCGCCTCGTGGCCCGTGAATGGGTGGGGAGGAGTAAAGCGAGCGATGAGGAAGAGCGGCGCGCCAGGCAGCGACGTCGCGCACTGATGGGGTCTCGCCGCTGACTCACGTCGGCAGACTGGAGGTTGATGATCCACGTCACGTTCCAACATGCGAGAGAAAGTAGCCAAGACACACACACACACACACACACACACACACATTTGTTTGGGCGTCGCGGCCACGCGCGCAACGACGCGGCGGAGTCGGGGGACAAGACCAAACACACTCTTTTTAAGCCGGCGGTGCAGAGGGACCTCAGGCGCGGTCGGCAGATCGAGGTGCCAATTGCGACCGAACTTAGTCGAACGCGCCATGATGGAAAGGCACAGTCACGGCCATGCAGATAGGTGATGAAAAAACGAGAGGCGCTGCAAAGCCAAGGTGCAGCGGACAAAAGACCCGAGGAACAGAAGCTCGACGCGGGCAGCTTGAAGCGCAAGCAGCAGTCTGGTGCGAATTGAAGCCTCAAAGAGAAAGCAACAAAAAGAGCAACTGCAAGACCCGCCGACCTGGTGGCGGGGCATACACGCAGGGGAACTGCGCGACAAAGCAACGCCGCCGACATCGCAACGAGCAAGTAACGGACTGAGCGACCGAGCAACAGGGTGCATGAGGTCGGCGTGAAAAAAATGATCACGCAGCCGAAACTGGCTTGGCATAAAATTAACAAAAACAGAGCCGAACGCGGGCGACCATGAGCAGCAGCCGCGAAACGCGGCGGCGCGACCAAACACGCACACACACACACACACACACACACACACACACACACACACACGCGGGCGCGCACACACACGAGCGCGCGCACGAACGAAGAAACAAGAAAACGCTCATCGCTGAGGCCGCCTCCGCTACTGTTTGCCAGAAGTGCATCTACGCTCTCCCCCTCCTGGGCCATCTCCCGTTCCGACTCGAGCTATTTCCCGGCCCATGCCGAGGTGTCAAGGCGGCCCTCTGGAAGCAGTGGACCCGACAGAGAGCGCAAAGAGGGGAGCTCCGTAACAGCTGCAGCGTGCAATCGGCGCCTGGCATGCGAAGAACGAGAGGATACCACTGCCAGCCCCGATGTCCTCGCGCAGTTCGCTCCCCCATCGCTACTGCGCCACAGGAGAACTACTGCAACGCTTATCCGTTTCCATGGTGTGCACAAGTTGAAGCAAATAGCACACGCCCCCTGCCTTCTATGCTGGCACGACGTGAACTGAAACATTCCGACATTGCTGATAATGAGACAATCATCATACGGATGCATATACGAATGTGCACGCATATTCCGCTACTACACATTGCAGCGCTAGACGCATCACAAGGCCATTGGACATGTTTCGTTCTTACGTTCGAGTAGAAGCCAAAAACAAAACGAACAGCCTTCCTTCAATCATCGAATAATGACAACATGTTTGATGTTACACCGTTGCTCCACCAAAGTGCTAGGCAGCCGTTGCTGCGTGTATATGACGGCTCCGCTTCAAGACACTGAATGCCTTACCTATACGCGAAAATAACATCCAAACACCAGAGTGGGGTGTTTCATTCACCCTCCTCTACATCCCCAGCTGCCCCCCTCCCACAAATCCCCCCCAACCGCTCTCAGCGAGGCGACGGATATAGGGTACGCACGGGAGCGCAACTGGATATAAACTGCTCCTTCACTCGATGCGCTCATGCAGTGCCTCAGATAATGTCCACGCCAAAACAAGTTGAGACGCATACTGCTGCTCAGGGCCATCTGCCTGCCGCTGACCCCTGCCAACCTGCATCCACGCCTCGCTGCATCCCCGAATAACCCATCGCCGCACGCCATGCCATGCGAAAGTCGGCATGCTGCTGCGATGGCGTCGGGCGCAACAAGCATTGAACATGCCAATCCACGGGGCAGAAGCAGGTGGCAGTCCATCGCGACCTTGCCTCTGAAGTCGTCGGGGTTCTCCACAATGGCTTTTCGGTAGGTGACCGTGCGGACGCTGTCCTTGAGCAGGCGACAATCACTGACCCACAACGAGCTGCCTACCCCCCCCCCCGAGCTCTCGTGCCGCAAATATAACCAGCAACAACCCGCGCGGACGGCCTGTAAGAGGAGAATGGGTGAGCACGCCTGCAGCATGTTCTGCTGGTTGCTGCACTTGGCGTAGTACTGGAAGTAGCTCTGGACGCTACTCTGCTCGTACTGCTCGAAGCGCTCGTAGTTCTGCTTCCCTTGCGAGGGCGGCACCCGTACCCCAAGACCGTCTGGCGACATGATTCCGAGCAACCTCCCACTTTTCCTCCTTCTCCTCCTCCTCCTCCTCCTTCTCCCTCAGCCCTCTTCGGCGAGGCGGGGAGGGGTCCATAACCACCACCGCATGGGGGATCGATCCTCGGGAACTTCGGATCCGCAGGTCTGGCGTATGAGTTTCAAACAAGGCGAAGGTCAGGCATCAGCTTTGCTGAAGCCACAACCCAAGCTTCAGCTCTGCTGAGGAGGTGTGCCGTGGTGGCTCTGCCGGGTAGGGCGGGAGGGGGGGACACTGTATTCCCAAACCGCCCAACAACGGACCAAAAGCAGCCCGGAATGCAAGAAAGCTTCAGGACGCCCCAGATGGCCTCAAGACAACCCACAAGGCCTCCAAAACGCTTGAAGAGGGCCCCAGGAGGATCCTCCGAAGGCCCCTAGAAGCCAAAATCGGCCAAATCACATCGGTTTGGGTATGATTTCAACCATGTCGCCTGTTCGGTCTTAAGAGCGCCCAAGACGGTCCAAGAGACCCCCACGCCCGCCCCTAGACAGCCCAAGAGGCCCCTAAGAGGACCCCAAGATGGCACCAAGAGGCCCCCAAGACGGCCCAAAGAGGACCAAAGCCCCCAAGAGGCTCCAAGAGCGCCCCCATGAGGCTTCAGGACGCGTCCAAGAGGCCCCCAAACAGAACCCAAGAGGCCTCCTCTAGAGGCCCCGAGAGGCCTCCAACAAGCCCCCGAGAAGCCACCAAGAGGCTCCAAGAGGCGCCGCCTCGCGCGCTGCCAGGAAAAAAAAGTGCATGGTCTGACCTGGTATGGCTCAGAGGCGAAAGCGCGGAGCTGAGAACCGGCGAAGACCTCCGAGCACCTCGAACCTCGGACATATTCGCTCCTCGCTACGCGATGGCGGCCCTCCAACGCGAGGAGCGCCCCAGATCGGCGGCACAGGCGAGAGGCTAATCTACGCCCCGCGAGGCTCCGACGACAGCCCCAAAAGACTCACCAGACGAGAAAGAGAGTCACGACACCGCCCAAGCAGGCCCCAATACTGCCCAAGAAGGCCCCAAGATGGCCCGCAAAGACCCTGAGACAGCCCAAGACGGGCTCACCGAGCCCAAGATAGCCCCCGTGACTGCCCAGGTAGGGCCTATGAGGGCCCCTCAAGGAATGGAGACGAGAGGTGATACATCCTACGGCGTTCCTGGGCGGTGCTCGAAGCTTCGCAACACAAAGTGATGCTCTCTGACTCTGGCACCGAGAGAATGTTCTATCCCATCCCATCGGGGAAGCATCAAGAAGCACATGAGAACAGCAGTTAAGACAACACTACTCAACTTCAGCACAGGACAATCGAACCGACGCTGCCCCAGACACCGCGGGTTCAGATGAAGCTGCGATCAGACCGAGCACGGCAGACTCGCCAAGACAACAAGCTCAAAAGAGATACTCTGGTAAGCTCTCCGTCTGCCCACTGGGATCTGAGGGCCCCGCTCTTCGTCAGCTCGTCGACTATGTTCTTCGCGCTGCTCTCGACGTCGAACCTTGGACCAGCGACCGATCAGCAAACGTGCCAGGGCAACCAGGGCGCCGAGAAGATCGATAGAAGGGTCTCCTAAGGTATCCACCGCTGGCGCTTGGCGCGCGACGTCCGCGGGAGGCACGCACCCGGACATGCGGAGCAGTGCGCAGACAGCACACGCGCACGCACATGCACACACACACATACAGACACTGACATGTTTCAGTGGGAAGAGCGGGTAACAGGTGAAAGCGCGAATTGAGACTGGGCAAAGTCGAAGACACGATGTACGCGACGTCTCAAACTGTTAGGTGCAAACGATAAGTAGTGGGCTAGAGGGACTGTTATCCTAAACGTAGACATGCAGCGGCCAGAAAAACTAAGGAGGAGACTCAACTCAAAGTAAACTGGAGCGCAGGCTCACTGGTGCGAATCGGCGGCCAATGAATCACCGGCACGGCGGTGTTAGGCAGTGAGAGACACACACAGACACGCACATACACACACGCAGCACAAACAAACTGGTCACGCAGTATCGTGCACGTGCACAAATGCAACCACGTAACCCCACCTGTCTAGTGATGCCTGCCTTCCTCTCTTGTCGCCCGAAACCCAGAAATTCAAACTTTCCTGTGTTGGGTCCCGCATGTCCATTTCGGCGCACCCAACAAGCGTACCATGACCTATAAGGAGCTCAAACTACCACACCATTTGGAGAGCACGCATACCGTTCCCGCAACAACTCGGCACATCTCTCACGCGGATAGCACCCGCCACGGAGCTCCAACTACGTCCCAAAAGGGGGAAATCGTTGTCGTCCCCACCTCAACTTGGCACACCCCTCACGTAGATCATGCCCAGCACGTAGCTCCAGCTACGACCCGTGCGCAAACTCGCACACCGACCCCGCCTCAACTCGGTACACCGCTCGCGCGGATCGTGCCTCATAGGGAAGTCGAACTACGGCACCAGCGCGAGAACTCGCATTGTAACACCCCTCATGCGGATCGTGCCTCATAGGGCACTGTTTTCTACCGAGGATCTCCTCCCCGACGTACTTCCCCCTCCCGCCACACCCTTCCGACACCATCCAGCGCACTGTTAGAGGCCCCCCCAAATAGGGCCCGGATATTCTTCCGAATGAACATCCTCTCCTCGCCGCGAGAAGCCGTACATCCGCGCGACTTCTTTTGTTGCCCAGACAAAACACCTGGACGACATGTCCCGATGGACGGTGCCCAAGGTGCCTGCATGAACAAAACCGAACCCCCCCCCCCACCCCGCACCTCCCAGACAGATCGAAACAGACCCCCCCCGCGGGACTCCCTCGGGCATCAAGCTCAGACCCGACCCCCTGCCTCCAAGACAGGTTGAGCCAGACACCCCCCCACCCAAATCAGACACCCCCCCCTTTTATTACAAAAGTTGGAGCACGCCGTCGGCCCTCGCAGCAGGAACGGCAGCACGGACCATGCCCCGGGCGCCCCCCGCTGCTGGTGAGCATGTTTTCCACCACCACCACCATAAGTTGGAGGGAGGAGGAGAAGGAGGAGGAGGAGGAGAGGGAGGAGGAGGAGGAGGAGGAGGAGGACCCCCCCTCTCCAACTCATGGTGGTGGTGGTGGAAAACACGCCCATCAGCTGCGCCGCCGTCGCGAGGCGCCTCGAGATGCCACCGCGCTGCGCGGGGCACGCCCCACCCCACGGAGAAGCGCCGCGAGTCTCTGCGTTGGGCGCGCGAGCACGAGCGGCCACAGGCCAAGTGAAGGAACAGGAAGGGGCAAGAAGAAGGAGAAGGAGAAGGAGAAGAATAAGAAGAAGAAGAAGAAGGAGGAGAAGAAGAAGAAGAAGAATAGGAGAACGACTCAAAGACGAGGAAGCGGAAGGGGAAGGGGCGAGAAGAAGGAGGAGGAGAAGGAGAAAAGGAGAACGACTCGAAGACGCTGATCGACGCGAGCCGACGCCAAAGACGGAAAATGATGTGCTACGGGCCCCACGTAGGAGGCTGGAGCTCTTCCCCCGCCAGCACGGTCCACGCGCGCTGAGGGATTCGCGCGTGCGCGTCGTCTTCGCCAAGAGGCTCCTCGCGGCCTACCTCGGGCCCCTCCCGCAGAGAAGCACGTCGGCTCGCGCCCCCCCGACCCCTTGGGCGACAACTCATGGGAGCCTCCCATACCATCTTGTCGGTTCTTGCGAATCGGCGCTAATCGACGCCAGTCGACGCTGAATCCATGCTGAATCGACGCCTACAGACGCTAAATCGGCGCTACAGTCGGGGCGTTGACCTAAGGAACCCTAAATAAGGAACGAGGCCCCTTTTTCCATAAGTTGAACTTCGATTTCCCATCGAAACCATGAGGAAAACCCGAGGCAAGCCGTGTAGCAATCACGGAACACCGAGCCCCTCCCCAACGAGAAGGGTTCCTTCTTCAGCGCCCCTGCTGTATCTCATCGACTCCCAGACGCTAGTCGACGCTGATCTGCGCTGAAGACGGATTGAAAGGGCACGTCGGGCTCCCACGACTTGGCACCAGAAGACCCCCCTCCGCGCGTGCGAGGGCCCCAGGCGGCGAGCACTGCGCTCAGCAGCTGCGCGCGGCCCGGGCCGCCTTTTTCCTCCCCCGGCGACGCAACAGCACCGCCGCGAACACCAGTGCAGGGGGAGGCAACCGAAGACCACGACCAAGATGGCGCGCGGAAGCCTCGAGGCCGACCTCGGTCGTCGCCCACCCTGGGTCATCGTCGGTTCGTGGGTCGGCCTGGCGAGCCGGCCACGGCCGGCGTGGAGGACCGTGGCCGAGGTCGGCGTCGACGAGGTCCCGTCACATCCTGGTTATGGTCAAAACGAGGGCGGCGGCGGCAGCGGCGCTGGGCGGCACCCCGGCGGCGGCGGCGGCGGCGGCGGCGCGCCCTGGCGGCAGCGGCGCTGGGCGGCGCCCCTCCTCCTCCTCCTCCTCCTCCTCCTCCTCCTCCTCCTCCTCCTCCTTTGGCTCCTCCACCTCGAGACCGCCGTGGCAGGGAGCTCGCGCTTGCGAGCAGGATATGCAATCGGGCGCACCCGCAAAACTCTGAAGAACTTTCGCAACGGCAATGAAGCGGCATACCCAGACATCCGCCGTCGCCATTTTCTCACAACATGGCTTCTGGCTCCCCAGAAGTTTGGACCCATCGCGGAGGCCAGCTTTACTCGGGTCGGGCGAAAGGGGGGGATAGCAAAGGGGGGGTTTGAGAATCAGCTCACGTAGCTGATTTTCCCGGCGCCTCCCGGCGCCGGAAGCGGCTATGTATCGAGGAATGGGCCCCTCGGTGAGGCCGAAACCAGCTGCATGCAGCAAATTTCGTAACCCCCCCTTTCCCAATCCCCCCCTTTCGCCCGGCCCGATTTACGTCCTGAGCCGCTTCTTAGCGGCCCTGTGGCCGTTCCAGGGCTCCTAGAGGCCGAAAACTGTCCAAAACTTTCCGTCGTGATCTCTTCGCGACGCGAGGCTCTGGCTTTCAGGCCATAACTCGGGCCTCTGGCGGCCGACCGGGACGTGCCTGGCAGCCCCCGGCAGCTGCGGAAAGGCATCCAGAGGCGGGAAAACCCGCAGGAACCTACGAAAGCATCCGGAAACCACCGACGACCTCTAATGGGACGCGAGGATGGCCGGGTGCCTCTCCCCCCCAAAAGAGAAAAACGGAGATCGATCGGCGCGCACGCGCCCCGTGCGGAGGCGACCACGCGGCCGCGCGCGGGGCCCCATCGAAGGGGGAGATGGGAGGACGCCAACTGCCAGGAGAGGCGAAGTCCAGACGGAGTAAGCCCAGACAGAGGCCGAGCACTCTGCACAGCCTTACCCCGCACGGACTCAGCATCCTCTACACCTGCAGCGATCCGGGCCAGGACCATACTGAGCCCAGGATCGGTGCATGCGCCATCCCGGCCTGGGCAGGAAGGCACATACACCGATCCTGGGCCCAGGATCGGCCCCGCCACGATCGGTGTACCCTGACATCCTCCGTGGCACTTTTCCCAACCATGCTGTGGTGCTGGGTCCTCGTTTTGAAGAGACAGTGCCCCGCGTTCCTCTCCTTCCTCTCCTCCTCCTCCGCCTCCCATCCCTGCCTCCGCGCTCTGCACCAAGTACGACGTTCCGTGGCCCCATAGGGAGCCCCACCGAAGGCCCCAGTGGCAGCGCCCGCATGCAGTTCCACCTCCGTTTCGGTGCACCCCTCACACGTTTCATGGCCCCATAGGGAGCTCCACCGAAGGCCCCAGTGGCAGCGCCCGCATGCGGTTCCACCCTCCATTTTGGCACACCCCTCACACGCTTCGTGGCCCCATAGGGAGCCCCACCGAAGGCCCCAGTGGCAACGCCCGCATGCAGTTCCACCCCCATATCGCTCTACGCCTCACACGTTTCGTAGCCCCATAGGGGGCTCCGCCGAAGGCCCCAGTGGCAGCGCCCGCATGCGGTTCCACCCTCCATTCCGGCGCACCGCTCACACGCTCCGTGGCCCCATAGGGAGCTCCACTGAGGGCCCCAGTGGCAGCGCCCGCATGCGGTTACACCCTAAATTTCGGTGCACCATTCACAGGCTTCGTGGCCCCCTAGGGAGCCCCAACCGAAGGCCCCAGTGGCAGCCCCCGCATGCAATTCCACTCCCATGTCGGTGCACCCCTCACACGTTTCATGGCCCCATAGGGAGCTCCACCGAAGGCCCCAGTGGTTCCACCTCCATTTCGGTGCACCCCTCACACGTTTCATGGCCCCATAGGGAGCTGCACCGAAGGCCCCAGTGGCAGAGCCCGCATGCGGTTCCACCCTCCATTTCGGCGCACCGCTCACACGCTCCGTGGCCCCATTGGGAGCTCCACCGAGGGCCCTTGTGGCAGGGCCCGCATGCGGTTCCACCCTCCATTTCGGCACACCCCTCATACGCTGCGTAGCCCCATAGGGAGCCCCACCGAAGGCCCCAGTGGTAGCGCCCGCATGCAGTTCCACCCCGTCCAGCACAACCCTTTACACGTTTCGTGGTCCAATAGGGAGCTCCACCGAAGGCCCCAGTGGTAGCGCCCGCATGCGCTTACACCCGCCATGTCGGTGCACCCCTCACACGCCTCGTGGCCCCATAGGGAGCTCAACCTGAGGCCCAAGTGGCAGCGCCCGCATGCGGTTCCAAACTCCATGTCGGCACACCCCTCATACATTTCGTGGCCCCATAGGGAGCCCCACCGAAGGCCCCAGTGGCAGCCCCCGCGTTTCGTGGCCCCATTGAGAGCTACACCGAAGGCCCCAGTGGAAGCGCCCGCATGTGGTTCCACCCCCAGCTCGCTGTACCCCTCACACGCGAAGGCTCCAGGGGCAGCGCCCGCATGCGGTTCCACCTTCAATTTGTGCGAATCCCTCACACGCGTCGTGGCCCCTTAGGGAGCTCCGCCTAAGGCCCCAGTGTCAGCGCCCGCATGGCTGTCCCGCCACATGTCGGCACACCCTTCACGCGCTCCGTGGCCCCATAAGAAGATCCGCCGTCGGCAATACTCACAACGACGGTACCAACAACTGCATATGGTTGGGCCCTTCGCCAGGCTAATTTTCGCAACGTGACTAACAAGAGGTCTGGACCCCTTCCCTGAGACCAGTTTCTCATCCTGAGCGTTTTGACGTTCTCGTTGCCCACTAGAGCCCCAGGAGGCCGAAAACAAGCAAAAACCGTACGTTCTGGTTCTTAGCGACGAGTGGACGCGCGTGGCTTTCGGGTCATAACTCGGCTCTCGAGGGGGCGTTCTGGACGATCCGGGCACCCCCAGACGCCCAGAACGCCCTCGGCGAGGCGAAAGCTGCTGGAAGGCATCCCGATGCTGGAGAGCCGCCGAGACTCGAGAAAGACGCCCGACAACCTCGAACCTCGAACCGTCGTGATGGTTTCACGACGGGAGGAGGTCAGGGCAGGTGTATTAACTGGCGCCCCCCGAGCTGCGCTGGAGGCGCACCCGAGGGCCGCGCTGCAGGCCGATGTGGCCCAGCTCCTTGACCTCCGCGCGCCGCCACGCGATCGGCCAGCCCCCCGAGGGCTCCGCCCGGGAGCGCCGGCGGCGCGGCGGCGACGGCGACGGCGGCGGCGACGACGACAACGACGACGACCACGACGACGACGACCACGACGACGACGACCACGACGACGACCACGACAACGACCACGAAGACGACCACGACGACGACGACGAAGACGACCACGACGACGACCACGACGACGACCACGAAGACGACCACAACGACGACAACGACGACGACGACGACGACGACGACGACGACGACCACGACGACCACGACGACGACCACGACGACGACCACGAAGACGACGACTTGGCCTCCTCCTCCTCCTCCTCCTCCTTCTCCTCCTCCTCCTCCTCCCCCTCCTCCTCCTCCTCTTCCTCCTCCTCCTCCGTCTCCTCCTCCTTCGTCTCCTCCTCATCATCATCATCCATTCATTTTCCTTAGAAACACCTTCTCGATGTCGCACCCCGAAGCAAGTTTTTAGGGTGGGCTGGGCGTTTCGCCTGAGACTCCCTCACCACTAATGGCCCTGAAGCTGGAAAAATGAAAATAGTTTCACAGATGGAAGGAGGGTCGTTTTCGAAATGTTACTCTCGCCTTAGCGCCACGCACACTCGTCAAACAAATGTGCACGCGGATTTAGGGCGGGCCGTTTTCAAAACCTAGCTCTCGCCTTAGCGCCGCGTACATTATATTAAAAGTGACTAGATTCCAATAGAAAAAGGGCGGTTCTTATTAAAAGTAGGCTCTCGCCTTCGCGCCGCACACACTCATTTTGAATAGCTGCAAGAATTTTCACTGATGCCCATGATCAACGTACCAGAAATGGTGTGTTGGAAGGACTCAGGATTAGGAGGGTGCAACAGTTACGTTGATTCGCGGTGTTGATGTCCCAGAAATGGCGTTCTGGCACGAATAGGGATCGTCAAGACGCAACAATCAGGATGATCCGTGGCGTTGGAATCCCGAGAACAATGTTTTGGCATGCTGCAGGGTCTTCAAACATGTGTTTTCCAACGAGGCAGTTCCCTCCGTCAAAGTGAACCGATATAAGGGGCCTATGTACAGAAGCTTGGAGGTCGGGTGGATTCCAACATTGTTGATGACTCTTGGGTTTACACTGGTCCTCCTCCTCCTCCTCATCCTCCTCCTCCTCCTCCTCCTCCTCCTCCTCCTCCTCCTCTTCCTCCTCCTCCTCCACGCCCAGCGCCCGCGCACCGCAGCAGGTTTGGATTCCATTGCGTGGAGGGAAGGGTCGGGGACGGACAGAGCCCCCTTTGGTAAAGCGTGGCTAAACCACGCTTTACTAAAGGGGGCTCTTTCCGTCCC